TTGATCGATGGCCGGGAAACAAAAAATCGGATTGTTCGCTATCGATGTTCGGCGTCAGAAATGCGCAAACGATAAAGTATCGTAGTCCCGTGTTGTCATCGAGCCGATCGTATTTTAACCGTGGCACGGCAGTGCTCTTTAAAATTCAATGAAACGAACGGAAAAATCGCGGAACGAGCCCCTTGAAATTCGCCTGCGACTTCATTTCGCTTTGTTCCCTTCGAGTTTGTTTCAAACTCTCTCTCTCTCTCTTTCTCTCTCTCTCTCTCTGTGTCTCGTTCAAGCGTTTCTCTCCGTGCTCCTCCCGAGCTTAATATCAGATTTTAATATCGGAATTTTTTTTTGCATCCGGTCGTTGGTTTAGCCACGTCTCTCGAGCACTTCTGTTCGAGGCCAAACGCGACTCGCGCGAGCTTAGCCGACAAGTCGGCGTATCTGGGTTCAGCCTAAATAGGTAATTCAACTTCCATACGTTCTCGGATGTCGCGCAACTATAAACTGAACTAGAGCATTGGCCAACCGGGAAAAAAGGTGAAATCGCGAACGATACTCGAACGTGCTCGAATCGCCGAGATAATTGGTCGATTAATCCCTTCTCGTCGGCAGACGATAGCCTAAATGGAAAATCAAACTTTCGTTCGACCAACGAAAATATTTCTTTGCCGATGTTTCTCCGTTATCCGGAGGGTTCGATAGGAGCGTGGTACGAGAGCGCTTTTTTCTTTTTTTTTCTTTTTTTTTTTTTTTTTTGGAAAAAAAGAAGGAAGAAAGAACGAAACGAGACGAATAGAGGAAACGAACTATAGAATACGCGTTTATCCAGAGGATTCCGTTTTCAATTTTCAAGATTTTCTGAATATCTATTATAACGCGTTTTTATTGTTTCTACTACACAGATTTTTGCGCCAAAGTTTAAAACGTTTGCTATCACGGGAGATCGAAGCGAAACGTCCACCGCGGTGGATTTGCGTTTGACTCGAGGACATATTGTACTTTTGCACGATTAAGCGATATAACGTATTCCTATCGTAAAGAATATCCAAAACATTTTTCACAAATGAAACGCGTCAGTCGTACGTATAAAAGTTTCGTTATATAGAAAATATAGTATATTAAATTTCGTATCATTTGGTACTATTCTCGCATAAATAGAAAAATTGTATGCCGCGAGAAGGAAACGCGCAACTCGATGAAAACACGCGTTTCGGTGGAGAATAAGGATATCAACGTACGAATCCTTTTTACAGCCACTGTGATATTTTGTTATCTCCTAGCTTGAAATTAGATCCAAGTCGATTCTTTTCGTCATTTGTGTCGTTTCTCCCGTAAACTCGTTGGTCGTTGAAGGCGCTTTGAAAAGAATCAACGCGACAGGAATTTAGCAATTGCGTTTTTGCCTAACCAAATACTGTAAGATTAAGGTTTCAGAATCTAACTCCTGCTCGCGGAACATCAGCAAAATTTGATTCAAATACGACCAACGCGAGTTTCGGTGGAAATAAAGTTCAACTGTGAATGGAGTATTAACAAGTGGTATTAAATAGACTTAGGATAGGATATACGAAGTTGGCATACTGGTATTTAGGTACTCTGTAAATCTAACCTTCCGATCTACGACGAATTTAAACGTCGAATAAGGATAAAACGCGTCTTTTTCTTTCAACTGTTGCAATGGTCGTTGTACGATTTCTTTATACGTTACGTACGTCAAGTAAGTGTATTTTCCTCCATTTTCTACGAGTAATTGATATTTTTCTGCGAGTTTTGCTTATTCGTAAAACCGCCGAGTTCTATTAATAGATAATAGATTAAAGAGGAATATTTGCAATATCAGCGTATTTTTCAGTCTACGAAGTTGACCAACGTGGTTTCTAAACGTCTCGATCAAGGATTAATATTCGTTGTTCGTCGCGATATTCGAGTAATAAACGACAGATGGAGCGAAGCGATCGCCAGACCAAAGATCTACAAAAATCGCCAAAACGTTCGCTCTCTTCTTTCGCGGCGTAAACCGCGCGATAAATGAAAATCCGTATACGAATACCATTGACGTAAATCATATAGAAAATACGTTCCGCGCTATAACGATTCGTTCCTCCACTTTTTCTCTCGGTATTTTTTTCCCCTTTTTCTGATTTATCTGTACTCGCGTTCGTCTGTATTACGCGTTTTACGGGAAATATTTTGGAACGCAAACGTACACGTTTACGCGAGTATATATTCTTTTAACTTTAACGTAAACGAAGGACGTACTTTGATCGTACTTTGAGTTAGACGGAGGTTTTTGACGATAGACAAGCGATCGACGAAACGTCGACGATTAGCCTATATAACGATCGATACGTTCGAGAGGGTAGAGTTTACATAAATATATAGAATATACGATACGTAAAAGTTGCGTAGGATAAACGTTGAAACGGTGTGGCGAAGCACTGCGCGTGATATAGAGACAGATACGGTATGCAGGCGAAGTATCGTCTCTCTGGAACCTTCGATTTCACAGAAACTGAAAACTTTCTAACGCGATATCTAACCACTTGTCCAGACAATCGATCGTACGATTATACTACGTACAATTTTATTGCGAAACGGAGACCGTGCGTGGTTCACGCCAGGCCGAGACGCATTAGCCCTCTCACCGCGAGACGCGAACGCCATTCTGACGCTGTAACCTGGCAGGATTGCGTGGACCATTGTGACAGTTTCGTCGCGTTATTATTCGTTACGGTTGGCGATAATTGGTCTCGTCGGAGTCCTTGATCTTACGCGCCGCCTCGACGCTTCCCGATTCAGCTTCCCGCGTGTAACGAATTTCCGTTAGATCAGGCGAAAAGCGACGATAATCGCGTCTCGTTGGTTGCTCGTGCTCGTCGCTCGTTCTCCCTACGCGGCAGATTCGTGTGCGTGCGTTCTACATCTATATCGGCGTGGCTGTCCTCAGGCCCATATATAGGGGCCCCTTTACTCGGTCGCTGGCTTACAGCATCCGCAGCCGTCAGCGCGAGTGCATCGTCGTCTTTCTCGCGGTGGTCTCGTTGTTTGAAATCGCTTCGAATCGTCGGGAGAACCGTGTCGATTATTTTTTTTCCCCCCCCTCTTTGTCTGCTTGTCGCGTCAAGCGATCAGGGCGTTCGCGTCGCAACCGCGTCGTAACCGCGTCGTAACCGCGTCGTAACCGCGTCGTAGCCGCGTCGTAACCGCGTCGTAACCGCGTCGTAACCGCGTCGTAACCGCGTCGTAGCCGCGTCGTAACCGCGTCGTAACCGCGTCGTAACCGCGTCGTAACCGCGTCGTAGCCGCGTCGTAACCGCGTCGTAACCGCGTCGTAACCGCGTCGTAACCGCGTCGTAGCCGCGTCGTAACCGCGTCGTAACCGCGTCGTAACCGCGTCGTAACCGCGTCGTAGCCGCGTCGTAACCGCGTCGTAACCGCGTCGTAACCGCGTCGTAACCGCGTCGTAGCCGCGTCGTAACCGCGTCGTAACCGCGTCGTAACCGCGTCGTAACCGCGTCGTAGCCGCGTCGTAACCGCGTCGTAACCGCGTCGTAACCGCGTCGTAACCGCGTCGTAGCCGCGTCGTAACCGCGTCGTAACCGCGTCGTAACCGCGTCGTAACCGCGTCGTAGCCGCGTCGTAACCGCGTCGTAACCGCGTCGTAACCGCGTCGTAACCGCGTCGTAGCCGCGTCGTAACCGCGTCGTAACCGCGTCGTAACCGCGTCGTAACCGCGTCGTAGCCGCGTCGTAACCGCGTCGTAACCGCGTCGTAACCGCGTCGTAACCGCGTCGTAGCCGCGTCGTAACCGCGTCGTAACCGCGTCGTAACCGCGTCGTAACCGCGTCGTAGCCGCGTCGTAACCGCGTCGTAACCGCGTCGTAACCGCGTCGTAACCGCGCCTTTTTCCATCCCTATTTCCTTCGTCGTTCCTCGTTTCCGTGTTCCCCAGACCGTCGTCCAGTGATCTCGACCGAGTGCAGAGTACAGAGGAAAAAGAAAGATAAGAAAACGAGAGGAGAGCAAGGAGATATATATAGATATATATGGAAGATACTTGCAGTTGAAAAGAGAAATCTTTGGCCTCCGTGGGACGGGAGGAGCCTGGCCGAAGAGAGTCGATTTATTGGAAAATCGTTTCACGGACGATTGTTTGGTCGGAGATCCGGAAGGTGGTTTGGTGGCGGTAAATCGGTGGCCAGGCCGGGTAGAAAAGAGGCGAGAGAAGGGGGATAAGAGTATTGTGATTTCGGAGAGATCTGTGCGGAGCGGCGGGTGCGGGTTTTTCGGGCGGGCGAAAAGGATTTTCGTCGGTTCGAAGGGATACGAAAGCCGACGAAGCTCGAAAGATGCTCTGAATAGATGGTCCCGGTGTTTCGGTGCTATCTGCTACTTTTGCCTCGCTGGCTCGACCTGGCATAGTTTCGCCGCCGCGGTAATCGCGTATACGGCGTTTTATCGGCCGTTTCGCGTAACGCTTGAAACTCCGTGAGCCGCGATAAAACGATCGACGGACGATTTTCTGCCGTTGCGATATTAACGAAGAGAGGAAAGGGGGAAAAAGAAGAGAGAGAGAGAGAGAGAGAGAGAGAGAAGGTGGCGGCGGAGTACAACAGCGGAACCTCTTGCAGTACGTACGCAAGGGGAGAAAAGGGCCTCGTAAAGCGTTGCACGTTGAAAGCTTTTATATTGGATCAGCGATTAAAGTAGCGCCTGCGAAGGTGTCGAGAACCGTGCCGCTCTGCCTCTCCCCTCCTCACGGTGATACACGGGATATACGCGAATGTTCGTGTACGCTTCGTACGACTGAAAAAGGGACTCGTAAAGCACACATTCTCGCGCGAGCATGCGGTTCGCTGGAACATCGATGCGTCTTTTCAACGACGCGTCGCGATGCACGTGCACGCTGCTGCCGTTGTTGCTGTTGCTCCGATTGGCGTGCGTCGTGCACCTCGTATCGGCCATCGGTGACGATTATCATCACGATTACGAACGTGCGCTTGCAGGTCCGCGCACGTGCGCCGACTCGGAGTTCAAGTGCGCCAACGAGAAGTGCATACCCGGAACCTGGCACTGCGATGGCGAGGATGATTGTCACGATAGCTCTGACGAGGATCCAACGGTCTGCAGTAAGTACTTACGTTCTCTTCTTTCTTTCTTTCCTTCTTCATCTTCTTTATCATCATCGTCGTCGTCGTCATCGTCATCTTCTTCTCCTTCTCCTTCTCCTTCTTCTATCTCGTTCGATGGAACGATTCTATTTCCTCTCTGTGTCGTAGTTAGTTTTTAGCAACGGTGCGATGGTTATGGCCGGAATAAAATCGACTCGAAATGATTTTCAATTACGCGGCCATGCAAGCTGACAGTGGAATTGCGAGGATTTCCAGACGCCGGGTGTAGATCGTGAGATTTCCAGACGGTTTTAAGAGAATATTTTCGCGCAAAGATTTTTCCCATATTTCTCCTTGTTCCGTGCTTCTTTTCTTCTCTCTTCTTTTCCGCCCGATCATTTTTTATCGTTAACGAGCTCCCAAGGAAAATACCCCGGGGTTCCTTGCTCTAATTTCGCGATAAAAGTTCCCTTAAAACGTACGTCGCAAGTACGTTCCTTTATCGAATATAAAAATTCGGAGACCGTAGATGGATCGAGGATTAAGGTCGCGTTTATACCGAAGGTAAACGGAGAACGATCGCCGTACGATTCCGATTAAACGTTTCTCGTTGGATCGATCCTCGATATCGTGGTTTCTCGATCGATATAGTTTTTTCGTCGAGCAAATATTTTTGCGCTGCCGGTCGAGCCGATCCGAAAGAAAATATTCGTTCCGCGAAACTTGCGTTTGCTTTTTCCGTTTTCCAAGCAACTTCCCTCGCAATTTGCAGCTTGTTCGCATCGGCCATCGGATTAGTTCCCCTTTGCTCTCGTCGTCGAGATCTCGATAGCCTGTACGGTACGTGCATGGTAAATTCCTTTCTTTCGAGTATATCGTCGCGATACTCGGCGATGAACGTCGGAACCATGTTCCAGAATGTACGATCTACACCCTGCAGCGATATTAATTACACGAACCGGAGTCAGCTATATTACTCGCGTAGACCGTCTCCGAATTACGAGAGTACGAACTTGGCTTGGCTGGTGGAGTTTGTAAAGTCGAGCAAAGGGCTTTCGACGAAGACGCGAACGTTTCGTAGGTGCGAGAGTCTCGACGTCTTTCTTTTAAAACATTCTTCGTTATGATCTCGCTCGGAAAGCGAAACGAACCGAAACACGGTCGTACCAGTCGCAGCATCCCGCGAATCGTGAATCGTCGATGAGACTTACGAAACGCAAACGTCGAAGAAAGCTAGACTCGTCGATGTGGCTTAACGGCTGACATTTATTTATCGCGTAATAGTTGCAACCTTTAACGAGCAATCGACCACGTTTATTTATGAAAATTAAACGCGCGAGCGTTTATTTTAAGATAACCCTGACCAGAGTTTTTCACGAGATTGCTCCCTTTTTTTATTACGTTTTTCATATTACCATCGAGCGTGCAAGTTATCGTTAATCTCTGTCTATTATTTTCGACAAATTCCACTAGCCAATAACTCTCTTCTACGCGTATTCGCAATTTTAATCTTCGCCCGTCACTACGATTTTCCTGAATCGTTATCGATTTATTATATCGTAGTAATATCTATATTTTTTGTCGTGGCCAAGGTAAACGAAAATCGTTTCGAGTTGCACAGGCTAAAAACCAGGCGCAACCGGGGACAGCTGTGGAGCTCCCAGAATTTTTAAATTCCTACATTTTCGTACTTAATTCCCAACGCCAACCAACGTACACGCGCTTGCACGTCCGTGCGAAGTATTTAATGGAACAATACGAATGGATTTTGTCTCCCCCGTTGCGTTGTAAGCTCATTTGTTCGCGAATGAAACCGACTAAAAAAAAATATATATATATACACACACACACATATATATATATTATATATATATATATATAAATGTATATATTACGCGTATGTATACGTACGTACAGTGTCCGACAAAAGTATTCGAACGCTATCAGAAATTTGTTAGGTATATGTTTTACAAGATATTCCAAAATCTCGTTGGGTCTGTAAGGCGACGCGACCGTATTACATCGATAAAATCTGAAACCAATCTCGAACTGTATACACGATCGAAGCTACGAGATATCGGTTACGAGCATATCCTTCGCGAAGATTGCCAAAGTATTCGTAATTATTTGTTACATCAAGAAACCGCGATATTCGGTAAGACCACGTTTTTTTAGCACCAATTGTACGTTCGAGGCTACCAGTCGTGCTGTATACCGCGTATATAGTATACCAAGCTTTTGCGTATGTTTGTCGTATATTCTAGTAAGCGTACGTTTACGAGAAACGTCCGACAATTTTTCTATATATTTTCGGATTGGTTTCGAATCATTTATGCCGCCACGACGACGATAGTCGTGTCTCGTTGCAATGTCAAGGAAATTTCAAACAGTTTCGCACAATGCACGCGATATAGCCATAAAAATTTTCCGTAGCAAGTGTCGGAATACTTTCGCGAGCCGCTGTACGTACATCTCGGAACAAAAGTGTCAGGGCGGTCGCTATGCCGATCGCAAGATCGCGTAAACTAAAGCGCGCAACGAAGGTAACGGGAAATGGCGTGTAATTTGGAATTGATGCCGGTATGCCAACGATTTTGTTGGAACACGCGTGCAGCTTGAAATATCGAAATTATCGAAATTATCGAAATTATCGAGATATTAAAAGCAAATGTCCCGAGACTTTTGAGCCAGAGTATACATACGTACAATGTATGCGACAGCGCATGCACGTTAGCTGCGTCTGGATGCGCGCAAGAAAACTTGGTTCGTTACGTTTAACGGCGAAATTATTTGTGGAAGTAAATCGTATCGGTAAACAGAGAATTATTTCGACCGTGGCACACGTGCGCGCGTGTTTCGTTCAAATATCGGTTGGTCCCTGAGAAAGAGGGAGACGGGGAGAGAGACAGACAGAGAGAGGAGAGAGAGAAAAGTTCCTGTTTCATGGATTCAGACAAACCATCTCGCATTGACGTGATTAGCGCGTTTCATATAATTCTTATCGTACTGTTTTACGCTACGTATATATCTCGCTGTATCTTGCATCTGTGTGTTTGTATATGTTGTTCATATGTATAAATATATATTTTATTATTTTCCAGAGGTAGATTGTTGCGCGATATCGCGTTATTAATAATAACAACGGCTCGTTCTGATTTCGTCGGGCAAATACCGAATTAATATTCATGCTCGTGCATTTCCAGCCACGACATATATCCATCCGCGATAATTAATATTCAATTATAATGGGCTGGTATGTAAATGCGGGGAAACGGTGCGCGCCACCGCTGATTACTTTCCCGTTTTGGTAATTGTCCGCGCTATCGTCGTTCCATCACCATTATTTACAACTATTCGACCAATTACGCTACTCAAGCTCGCTTCCCGCCGATTACGATCGGTTACGATTCCGTTACACGCGTACGACCGTTCGTGAAATTCCGTCTACGTCCTGTGAAAGTTGGAAATGTCATTTTTGCGTTTCGTATATCGCGCGTGTTGGGTAAAACATTTTGGAATTTCGCTGGCATCGTGATGAAACGCGACCTTCGCGATTACGTTGCTCGAGATCGTCGAGGATTCCAACGTCGATCCGTCGCGTAATTAAAATACGAAGGATCGATATATCTCGCGCATTCGTTTATAAGCAGCAGCAAATTCCAAGTAATGGTCAATTTTTCAGAATAATACGTAGTCTCGATCGTCGTTTTTCTCTGCGTTTCGATTCGCGCAGCTGAGAGATTCGTCCGTTACGAACGCGTCAGAGTTTCACCGACGTTATTTAACATCGATATTAAAAAAATGCTAGGATACAACGTAAACAGCCACGTTGAACGTATCGTATAATAGGCGTATAACGAGCCGTTTAAATACTTTTACGATCTTTCGGATGTATTATTCGCGTCGAATGCTATATTTTCAAGCGTGTTTCAAACTCTACCGACGTAACGACGATAGCGGTGTTTCGTCACGGTGTTAACAAAGTTTCAAAATGTTTCGTATTACTCGCTCGTAATATATTCGCAAGAGGTTTCCACGACTGTTCCAATATTTTCGCGAGCAAACGTATCGAGATAAAATTTGACAGAATTTCGTTGCAAAGTTGGCGCGCGTTTGCTCCATAGATTACTCGATGGATACGTTTTACCTCGATAAAAACGGCCTTTTTGTTTTCAGAAGGGGTATGAAAAATTATACCGGTCCGTAGTATCGATCGAACGTTGGGGAACTGCTTCTTAACGGTGAGACAGGAAACGAGCAGATGAAAATTACGGAAAAGTAGGTCATTGTTACGACCTTACGTTCGAGTCGAGTTAAACGCGTTAACGTTTGAGAAATTCCTACGAAATATACATTTTTGAATTTTAAAGAGAGTTTCGCAACACTCGTTATACAATTACGAAAATTAGGGCTTCCGAGTGTAAGCTTTCGAAAGAGATGTCTCGACGTTTCGCGTCGCAGTTACCTTCGTCAGGAGTTGAATTTGCTTTTTAATTTTTTTATTATAAAGTATAGAATCCGCTGCCAGGTGGACGTTCGTTAAACTCTTCTTACATCGAGTTTACGCAGCATGATAGGGCGGATATTTATGCGTTTACAGGATGTTTAAAAGCGTAAAGCAGTTACAGAATGTAACTTCGCTTGTAATTTCCAATGAAAATATAAATTTCGAAATATCTGCGATTTAAAAACGATAAAGATGCTCGAACAGTACGCGCGAATACGTTAATCGGTATCGATCCGAAATTTTGGCGTATCTCTTTCGAAAGAACGTGGTTGGCACGCGTAAGCCTCGATTTTTTAGATCGTGCCTTGATCGCAAACAGAGAGACGCGCCACTACCATACCGGCAGTTTTCGATTTTTATTTGTTTCTGTTAAGTAGAAGGGTCGTTTACCGAGCACGCGGAGAGCGTGAAAAATCGATGTTTGGTATTAAAAAGCGATACTTCTCCGCCACGGTAAAACGATACGAGTTACAAAGCTCGGATAATTAAAGTACTTTGCCGCTACTTTATTAAATGAATCGAAAAATATCCGATCCTTCGTCGATAGCTACTATCGCTATTAATTTCGGCTTTCCAATTTCTTTTCCAATTTTTCATCGATGATGCCTCTATATTACGAGTATCGTAACACACCAGCTCATAACGCGATTTATAGTTCCGTTGATCTCGCAACGATTCAGAGAGCGAGAAAAGCGACCGACGTCGATCGTGTTTCGCTTTTTGACCGATAACGTGTTCTAATACACAAGGTGAGAAGCTAGAACCACATAGATCGGAAAATGGACGATAAATGTACGACGAATTAACCGATGCGATTTAATATTCGTCGAACATTAAGGAAGGTGAAAAATGGAACGAAATATGTGGTTTTTTCGTCTGACTTTGTAATCGAATACGTCTAACGCAAGGATAATTTTAACGTTGAATCGGTCGACGATCGATCGAATTTCGAAATTGCTCGTCTATTTTTCTCTTACGCGTACCGTATTTTTCACCGGCTTGCCAATACTTTGCTTGAAAAAAGAATTGGAACGCGGCCGGGAGTATTCTTTCGCTCTTGAGGAGAAACGCGAATAAGGCAAAGGTCGCTTTTGTTACGCGTCGTTCGATCGGGTCGCGTGAATTAATCAGAACGAGTCCGTTGTCCATCGATCGATTATTGAAATTAGTCTTACAAGCCGTGGGAACGAGCGAGCCTGTTCTCTCGCGACTGATTTTTGGGAAGAAGAAAGAGACGCGGCCGAAACGTGGCCCTTCGGTCGGCCCTTGAAACGCGATTCCCTCGCCGCGAAAGCAGGTATGTGAAAGTGCAACTTTTCGGACCGGTTTCGCGCAGGTGAAGCGGATTGACGCACGAACGAAAGCTACCGTTAGTTTTGAAACGCTTTTGCAGGCGAATATTTTCGACTGCTCTTCTCGCCATCGCACGGAGAAATATCGATGGAAGCTCGTTGAACTCTGAACGCAGAGTAAAATACGAAAAAAAGAGGGATATCCGAAAACAGGAAAAAAAAAAGATGAAAAAAGTAGCCTGGATAGTCCTATGGAGGAACGCGTGCGACGGTGAACGTAGCATGTTTCGTATCTGCGAGAGAATTAGCGGGTATTTTAAATTCTAAATTTATCGTGAAAAACTGTGAAATTGCACGGTGATTTTGATCCACGAAGGACGTCCAGTATGGTGGCTGATCTATAATCAAGTTACCTACGTAATGAAAACCTTTTCGATGCTTTTTTCATTCGAAAAAAAAAGAAAGGAAGAAAAAAAAGAGAAATAGAGAAAGAGAGGAGAAAAATCGATCATAGAGCGTGCTTAACACGGCGATCAATGCGTACGCGGTGTATGCACTTCAGATTTATGGAAAATTAATGCGGGTTCCACGTTATTTTATCCTCCAGTGACGCTCGACGATTTTATTTTATTACGAGGTCAACGAGTAGCTGATCTGCGATCAACAGCGACGCGATAAGAATAGGAAAATCTAGCGTTGGCTTTTTTTTTGTCGCGTATAAAAAAAATTTGGTTTTTTCTATCTCTAACTAGGCAACTACGCGGTACGTAGTTATTAGCGATAGCAACGAAATACGCTTTTTGGCTCTATAACGACGTGAAACGAGAAACACGCGCGTGATCTATATTAACTCCTTCGATTTTATCAACGCCTATATGCGCTAAACGAAATCCATTCTCTTGCTCTATGAATACATTTGTGTATATGCATTGGAAATTTCATTGCTGCGAACTATGTACGTTCAACGCACTCTGTAGTCGTTTTCTTTCTTTTTTCTTCTTCTTCTTCTTCCTCCTCTTAACGCAAGTACAAATCGAATGTCTCTTTTTTAAGTTCGATCGATTAACGTCTCAGGCTTTATTTTATTCGCGATCTTATTACATTTTCTTTATTCTTATAAAGAGATAAAAAGATAGAGCGTCGACGTGTTTCATCGCGTGGATTATCAAGTCCGGTGAATGGACTATGCATCACTGTTCGACCGTAATAGAACGTCGTATGGTAAAAGTTCCATCCGGCGATGTTGATATACAGCGTAAGAAAGAATTCATATCGAAAGGGTTAACTCTTGGCGGTTCTAGCAGCCTTGCACGTTTTATTCTACCTGGTTCATGCTCGGTAAACTACTTGTAACGTTATAACATTGTGATATATAACGTTATCTTTGACAAATTTTTAACGAACACTGTACCGTTCAACGTTGTACAAACATTGCTACGTGATACGCGGAGCAGGTGGTTTTTTTTCTCTCCCCCTTTTTTTTATCAGCTGGATATTCGCTGTATTTCGAAAAATTTCTGACAACGAGATTCTCGGATCCCGTACGTACGTTCGAGTACAACGGGAAAGAGCGAATAACGAATCGTAATGCACGATTTTAAATCGTAGCTGCTAAGGTTAATGCCGAACGAACCACCTTTCGAATCGTAGCGATGATAAATATGTTCGCGAAACGTTCCTGCAAACGTTCGAATACTCGCGCGAGCCACTCTATATTAGACATGTATATACGCGTGGGCGATGATTTCGACGAGAGCGGATAGTTCAACAAGTAGCCGATCCATAATCAAGCGTGACAGCGGTACCTTTCATTCGGCTCTTTTGTGTCTAGCTGTCCGTTGTTCGCGCGCGTTCGAACCTCGGATAGTTGGAATTTACAGAGAGTTATTGGACATTCCAAAGTTCTGAATTTACGCTGGCGAATTACGCGGCGATCTTGACACGGAAATCGAAAGAGTGTACGCGGTTGATTTGCGATCAAAACCGATCACGGGTACAGCACCGCAGAGAGAGAGAGAGAGAGAGAGAAAGAGAGAGAGAGAAGGAGAGAGAATATCATAATCGGCGAACCCTTTGACCCATGGCTTAAATGACAAACGCGGTTTTATCGTTGTAATTAAATAGTTCGGTATTGACGTTGTTTCGCCTATCGATACGCTCGATAGCGTGACCTAGATGCGTGCCGTACAGATCAATCGGGTAAATTCCTATTCGTCGTACGGTTTTGCTTTGTACGCCACGCGGTCGTCGTCGTGGTTAATGGAATAGTTTGATAATGACATTCCAATGTGTGCGTAGACTGCAGCTCGGATTCACGACGACGACTCGCGTGTTTTCCTTTGCGTGCGGAATAAACAGCTTGCCGCTTAGCTACATATCCGGAGACGCGTGTCTACGTTTGGCGTGATTCGACAAATTCGAATAGAATGTCCATTTATATATGTACGATTCTATCGGTTTTACGTGGACGATACAGTTGTAACGTCGATATCGTTGGTCATGCCGCTATCGATCCGATCTTAGCGTTACAGCGACACCTGCTTCGCTTGTTTCGTGCATGCTACGAGCGGAAGGTTGCACCGCTTCCGCGAATAGTGGCATGTCGTGCGTCGAGCCAGCCCCGTAATGTCGTTGAAACCACTCGCAAACGTTTCTTTAACGTCGTTCTACGAAACGTAGGTTTTTTAGATCGCGCCGCTATCGATACCAAGCAGCGATACGCCCTGTCTCAAGATTGCATTTTCCTTCGCATTCCTGTCGTCTATTCTCGGTATTTCTACTTTCACGCGCATTCCTATTTTTTTTAAATCCAGAGACACGGATGGTCGAACGATAGTTTTCCTTTGGCGTGCCAAACTCCACGCTCCGTCTTCTTTTCTCGCTTTCCATTTTGGTACTATACACGCGCGTAAAGTATATTTATTTCCGTTAAAATGCTCTTTGTATCGTTTGTTTGCTACACCTTCTACTTTGTTCTTCGTTCTCGTTCGAGTACGTACGTTGAATTTCGCGTTATCCGGTAGTTCTTCCGCGTGACGAAAACTTGATACGAAAACGAAACGTAGAACGTAGTAATAAAACGACAAAAGCAACGAATATCTTTTGTAGCCACGGTGAATAATAAAATGAAATTTTTCCTTTGTCGCGCTAAAGTCGACGTTCTATTTAGTTGTATTAAAATCTATATTTCCTGTTTATTTTGGTACGGCTTTGATTTTGAAATAAATACTCGAATAAGAGTGTAACAGCGTGAAAGTAGTTTATCCGATATAAAGCAATTAAATCGAACGTGACTCGAGCCATAAAGCGCGCATTATGATAATGGTTTCCTGTTTTTTCTCTTTTTCTTCTCTTTGTCTTTGTTTCTCATTTCCTCTTTTTAGCAAAGGTTGCGATTTTCACAGAAATTCGGAGCGTCGATGTTTGATCAATTTAGATCGTTTACTTCGTAAATAAAACGCGCGCGAGATGAAAATAATTGCGACGATGATTTTCCAAATCTAATAATACCGGAACGACAAAAGCGATTCGGTAATTTTGCGTATGTAATTGTTATCTTGAAACACGAGAGCTCGCGAAATGCTCTATAATACGAAAATATGCATCGACCGTGTCTTCGGCGTTTGTTAAAACATTCATTATCGGCATCAATAGGCGATCGAACAGATAACGCGTTAATTAACTCGACATCGAAATTAAATTTACTTCCGTGTCAATTAATCCGTTAACTAGGAAAGACGAGAGTTAATTTCTCGCCCAAATCGTCCATATTTTCATCGTGCATACCGATGCACACCGGTGTACTTATTAACGCATTGCTCCAATTAAAATAAAAAAGAAAGAAAAAAAAGAGACAAAAAAAAAATGTTTGCAGTTGCAAAAGTTAAAACAAATTTAATCGATACCCGCTTTCGACAATTTTTGCTTTTTGCGCCAATTACACCGTCAACTGGGAGACGTACTAATCGCTAATAATTTATTCGCTGCAATACCACTCCCTCCAAAAAAAAAAAAAAAAAAAAAAAAAAAAAAAAAAAAAAAAAAAATGAAAAGAAGAAAAAACAGCGATCTATTAATCGATCTGTTAATTGAAAATAATACAGAGTCGACTATTATGCATATCTCCGGCGTAATAATTTATTCGACGTTGCGATATCGCTTACGAAACGCTAGAAAAAAGGAAAGGGGAGAGAAACGTAACGCCGCGTATTTACAAATTCGCAAAAAATTAAAACCGATCTACCCGGTACATATACGCTTTTGTTAATTGCTATTTTTGTGAATGAAAGAGTTTCCGAGCACGGCAAACAAAATTCGGTTAACCGGCTGAACGGGGTTTTCCAGCACACTCGGGAAAAGAAAAACAATCGGAAAAACGTAAAACAAACGAAATATTCCGTATACATGGCGTTCTATATGTACGAGCGAACAAATTCTCGTTGCCTTGTTCGATGGGACAGACGTTGTCGGGGGCTCGCGATAAACGTTTTCGTTGGATCGATAAACCGGTCGAAGCGATCGGTGCTAAGATATAATTTTTCATAGCTCGTTATCCGACCTCTTGGCCTGACGTATTTGCAAACGGTAACGCTATAGCATTCACCTTAGCTCGTTCGATTTACATAACTCGTGCTCGTTGCGGCAGAGCAAACGTCTCGAATGTTTCTCGAGCGGTCTAATCAATAGCGATACCCAGCGACGTCGAGTGGCGATGAAATCGATTAATCGGTTTCCATTTTCCCTACCGATCCAGGATCCCGGTGGTTATTCATTATTACGCGGCAACAGTACGGTTTTAATATTAATTGCCCGGTCCGTGACGCGGACCCCCTTCCTATCGTTCTACAGTTTCAATATCGCAGAGCCAATTAAACGTAGAGACCGATAAAAGACGGAAATCAAAGCGGAAAGAGCGGGAGGAGCTGCTGCAGCGGTGAGACGATACGATATGCAGGTCCATAGAAAAAAAAAAAAAAAAAAAAAAAAGGAAGAAAGGGGGGAAAAGTAGATAAAAATTAAAAAGAAATACAAAATGGGTAATAGCGAAAATAAACGAAGGAGGGAGGAGAGGATCGCCAGGTTGCTCGAGTTATTCGCGTATGAGACGATTAATCGAGAATATAGGGAATTAGCGGCGCGTGCAAAATGTTTGCGCGAAACTACCGTCTGCCCACGTGGTGTTCCTTTAATCGGAAAAATATCGGCAAAAATCGGATCGCACGGAGCGTATGTAGGTCGTTGAAAAAGAAATCCTGGTCGTGTTACATAACGACGCGAATTATGGAAGATTAATTACATCGGTCGGCACGTTGCTTTTTCTCCGCTAAACTGCGAGCCTTTTTGTTCTCGTAAAAATTAAAAAGAAATACAAAATGGGTAATAGCGAAAATAAACGAAGGAGGGAGGAGAGGATCGCCAGGTTGCTCGAGTTATTCGCGTATGAGACGATTAATCGAGAATATAGGGAATTAGCGGCGCGTGCAAAATGTTTGCGCGAAACTACCGTCTGCCCACGTGGTGTTCCTTTAATCGGAAAAATATCGGCAAAAATCGGATCGCACGGAGCGTATGTAGGTCGTTGAAAAAGAAATCCTGGTCGTGTTACATAACGACGCGAATTATGGAAGATTAATTACATCGGTCGGCACGTTGCTTTTTCTCCGCTAAACTGCGAGCCTTTTTGTTCTCGAAGGTCTGTTGTTCCGGTTTGTACCGTTGATTTTTATTAGCGTTGATTAAGAAAACACAAAGTTGCTAAATACGATATTCTGGATCGCGCATACAACGTTTGAGAAGAAACGTCGAAATACTTTAGTTTTTTAGTTAGTTAGCTTTGGTGTATTTAGTTTAAAAATCCAAAGAGTTTGGACGCGGATTTCCTTCTTCGATTGGAGACGTTTTTGAATTACGAATAAACTTAAAGACGATCGTTTGCATTTATGAGCGAGAGCGTGTAAAAATACTCGTGACTCGAACCTGTTACAGGCGAGAGATTTCTATAGTTGGAAAACGGGATATTTTCTACCTGCGATCAAAAATGGATATCCCTTTGAAATTTAGCTTTCGAATTTTTAATTCTGGATTCAATCTTTGGATCGATTCTCATACGCGGGTATACTCGATGGGTAATAAATTTGAATTTGTCGCTAGCTGTTATAAACGAGAAATTGTTTCGATTTGAAAATAAAATACCTTCTATGTTCGATCAAAGTAAAGTATCGCTTTAGTTTTCCAAATCTTAAGCCGTACGAAACACGCAACAGGACGATGGATATTCCTTTAATATTCTCTCAAATCTCGAAACATAGCGTACGTATCTACGTTATTTACGGTTAATGCGCGCATGTAACTACGCTTAATAGAACAAAAATAACGTATCAATCTCTTCTTGAATTCGAGTTTATACGTTTGTTATGATTCGATATTTTATCGTTGTCAACGAAAAAGCCGCACGATCTTTTTTCGCTACCTAATCGATGTTCGATATCCGGATTTGTCGTCATCTTCACATAAAATTTACGATTCGTTGTTCTTATAAAAATTCATTAAAAATTATCACCTATATTGGAATATAACGATTGAAAATCATATATAATTCGTATAATTACAGTAACTACGATAAAACGCTCGTTAGAATCGGCTAACGATTAACGCGAGCATTCGCGTGATCGATGCACAAAATTGCAAATGATGTTGCATCGATAACGCGACGGGTCAAAGGCTAACGAATATTTGGGCGAACCGACTTCTCCTCCGGCACGCATCCGGCAAACATATCGGTCGACCGCGTTCGGCATCGCTTGTAATCTGCTAACGATGTCGCATTTCTCTCGCTTTGAAATTGCACGGGGAACCGTATCGATTTTGCGACAGCGGAAGACATATAACGTGATAACTAGCGACGTGAAAAATTGCGTTGCACCGCGAACAAGTCCGCGACAATAATAAAGGGCCTCTCCGACTGCTCTCTCGTTACCGTGCAAGTAATTTCTATCGAAGAATTTCCAACAACCACGAAAACGGATAATAAATGGCAATTAGATTTTTATCGCGCCTGCCCTTATAGCGTGATATCAGCTTGATCGTGTTCTTGTCGAAACGAAAGAAATCGACCGTTATGATCGAAACTTCTATTCTCTCGTATATCAGTCATCGTCGGACGTGTAGCATCGTCTAGATCTTTTTATCTTTATGGCTTAAAATATATTCGTTGAATTATTTTCCGTCGCTTTTCGAAACACCACCACTGACAAATTAATACGGCCAGCCTGCGTTAAGTCAAATAGTCTCAATACCTTTTCGCCGCGTTTCACAGACCGTCTTTATCGAGTACTCTTGTACTCGGGGCAAAGAAGAAAGTTGCGCGGCTCGTTGTTCTAGAATTAACAGCTTCGCTAAAAAGTTAAACAACCTGTAATATCCCATATCTAACGGTTTGCTAGAGTTTAATCAGTTCCCGAGTGCCGGCTAAGCGGATCTGATTTTCTTTTATGCGATCTTTCGTGCGCATATTTAAATCGTACCGATCGCAGCTTCTTCCCTCTTTTCTTTCATACCGGTTTTGCGCCGAAGAAACCGATGGCTATAAGACCGGCCAGAAAGAAGCGTACACGTACGTATGTTTTCGTCGGGCAAACAGTTTAGACGAGTTTCCCCTTTTTCACTCTTTAACCACCGAGCGACGTAAATGTCAGGAAATCAACAAGAACGGACTTATCATATTTTTCTCCGTGTGTTTTTCATATTTTATATAAGGCGGTAATATCGCTACGTTTACTTTTCATCTTTAAAATACCGCGAGATATTCCTTTTTTTACAAAATGAAGCTACTTGGACGATATTATTCCACGCGTGACATTATTGAAAAACTCGCGACATAGAAAAACGGAAGTAACGAATTTGCCTAAATGTTCGAATATTTAAAGTCATTGTTCTCGTTAGCTTATCCTTTTCCAAAAGCTATCCGTTAAAGAGCCGCCAAGGATTTCTAGGCTAATACTATGAAATGAAAAGTTACTTTACAAATTCTTTGATAAAGTCGCGCGTACAGTGGCTACCGTTGAATTCTTCTTCGTTGTCCGCTATTCCTTTCGCTACGCCCTTTGTGCAATTATTTATATGGTATATGTAATATCACGTATGGTAAATGTAGTATCAAGTAATAACAGTGAAAATTATTTAAAGTATTCGACATATATTAAAAACGCCGCCATCGCGGAAATAAAACGACGATCCTTAAACATCGTATCACTGGCCGGAAACTTGAGAAATCTAGCGTCGCGTTTGGAAAATGTCTGCGGAAGTAATAAAAGGGAGGGACACGATACGAGTTTATATGGAAACACGACGCAATTTATAAGGAAAAAATACGTCGATGTAACGCTTCGCTGTTTCTTTCAAGTTTCTTAGTATCGTGTACCAGAAGTCAGCCACGCTCGCGGAATAAAAATATCGGAAACATCGATTCTCACGAAAAAAGCATCGGCGGTTTTCTATCGAAAATAGGAAACACGCGCGAATAGATATGCCATCGATATTTCTCCCTCTATAGTGCGAATCGTTAAAAGAGTCAAGAGAAAGTCGTTTGTCGGTTAATAAGAGAGGATCCGAGGGATAGGATATCCGAGCGATGTTCTATCTTCCTTGATTAAAACGGTCCTGTCTAGCATTTTTTCGCCTTTTGAAAAGATCACGTACGTATCTAAATGACGATAAATAAATAACTGAAAACAAATTTAATTTTGCGTCAGAAAGACGCTAAAATCGTCAAAGGAAGATTTTCTATCGTTGGACTTTTAATTTGATATGTAAAAACCTACCCGCGAACCGACGTTCGTTCCTACGATTAAAAAAGAAAAAAAAAGGAAAAAAAAGAAAGGAAGAAAGAACGAAAGAAAAAGAAGAAAAGTAGAGAAAAGAGAGAAAATCCTTATCCTTCTCAAAAAGTTGTAACGCGAGATGGAAACAGGTTCGCTCGATCCGAGTTTAATATCGCGACTAATAAATTGGTGTGCTGATAAATCGTTGGCGAGGTTCGTCTCGCTTTTGTTCGCTTCTGTTCGCGCGCGCACGGCGACTAGTCGTGCGAAAGAATGGTTGCGAGAATGAAAAATGATAAAACGATTGCGATCGAAAGGGTCGAAACAGTGCAGCGAAACGGAGTTCGAGTGCAGCCCTGGGAGGTGCATACCGAAAACCTGGCTGTGCGATCTTCAGCACGACTGCAGCGATGGGTTGGACGAGAAAAATTGCCGCAGTAAGTTGTCAATAAGTCGTAGGTTGATCGCTGGAACGAGCCAGGAAGGAGCCAAGGAGAAGCGAAATGAAAAAGAGAGAGCAATAAAAGAGGAAAGGAAAAAAAAATTAAGGGAAAACTACGGAACATAAGCGACAGACGGGGATTATCCACGGTGGAATAAAAGAGCGAAAGGGTCTTGGAGTAGTAAGGTCTTGGAATCGCAAATTGCATCCCTCGACCGTTGAATTCGTTTCCCATCAAAGCGAAACCGCGACTCGACCACCGGAAAGAGATAAATTGCCAAGGCAAAGTAAATATATAGAGTTTGAAATTCCGCGAACGTTTTGCCAAATTTTCATTCTTTCCTTTTTTTCTCTTTAAATGCTACCGCGTGTTCCGACGAGATGGCCGACGATAAGCTCGATAAAACGGCAAAATTTCGACGTCGCTTCGATTCCATCCCCGTTGAGTTTCTCAATGGTCGGTTGATCTGCGTCGGAAGGATTTCCTTTGATTCGTATTTAGAATTTTGATTCTAAATTCTAGTATTTGATTCTAAATACGAATCAAAGGAAATCCTTCCGGCGACGTTACGATCAGCTATAATTAAAGTTGAACAAGCTACGGTATAAGAACGATATCTTGGTCTAAATAATTTTGGTCAGGCGTAATTATTAGTTTTGTCCTTTTATCGCTTTGTATATTTTCGTATATTACGCGCGTTCTATCTGTCGAAACTTTTCGTAAATGCATAAACGCAATGCACAAGCACAAACAAATCGCGTTTAATCGTACAGTTCGTTTAAACCAAAGGAGGAAAAGTTAAATATTTGAAATTTAAAAATCTTTTTGTTCTTCGCCGAATATCGTTTTCTCGCGCACCGATTATTCGAAGGTTTTGCCGCTCGTTTCGACCTATCGTTGTCCAACGATTATTCATTTTCCAGTAACCGTCGTTTATTCGTTACGTTGATTCCTCTACCTATTATATAAACCGATACCGTCCTTTTTATCCTTTCAACGATTGTTTAAATAAATCGATCGGCACGTGCTAAAAGCAAATGGTTTATCCGTAGATCCATTCGCGTTATATATTCTTCGTTTATTTTAATATTTTCGTGCGTTACGTATGTTTCGCGTTTCGCGTATCTCTTCCATACCGCGCCTAAAGTAGTTTTTCCTCGTTGGTTAAAATTTACAACCGGGTATCGTACAGCTAATTCTACACCGTTCGTGTATTCACTTTGTTAATGCTAAACAGGTACAAAGCTGAGAGCTAAGCTTATTGAAATAAGTCGGTGCACTTTGGCTGTAACTTTCTCAGAACCGCGTCTTAGATCATCCATTAATAAGCTTTACTGGATTACGCGTTAGCCACGCGTATCTTTCAGCGATAATTTTGAAGCTTGTACGCGCGCAGGTAGTTGCATAAGGAAAACATCAGCCGAAACTGTAGACCAACGATCCCTCGAACAGCAGCCTTACCTTCGTTCTCTCGACGTTTACGAACTCGCGAAACGAATGCTCGCGATACGAAATAGAGAAGACACGCGTATCGATAGAGATATCCGAAATTTGTCTTATATCGAAAGACGGTTTCTTGTATTTACAGACTAGTTAAAGTTTCTCGTTTACGTATCTTCGATACGATATTTCTATCGAGTACAGATTCGCGGTGAAACGAGTTTTTCTTCCCAGTTTTCTATTTTATTGCTAATCCGTTGTTATCTGTATTCGCATCGTGGCTTACGACGTAAGATACGAAACGAAAAGAAATTCGTTAGAATCCTTCGACGATCGTAAAAACGTTGTAAAGCTTATCGACTGCGTATGTCCTTCCGTTACAGCTTAACGTTCGAACGATATAATTTCTCGCGTGCCATTAAATTCTCGCTGTTCGTCCGAAAATGCAATGAAACTAAAACAACGTTAGGTCGAAAATAGACGGTCGACCATCGAAGCTCCGGCCACTGACATCATCTCGCAACAAGACCCGAGCTTAAATCCGTTAACGCGTTTGATACTGAACAAATTGTCGATTATAAGCGAGTCGGTGGAAGCGGCGAGCGAAACAAGACGAATAATAAGAACGAAGCGTAGAAACTGTAAAGAATAACTCAACGACAAATTTCCACCGGCGTAACGGCGTTTCGACGTGGTTAATTAAATTAAGACCGGTTTAAATTGAGAAACTTTGCGCGACAGGAGAGGATAGAAGGGACGAAAGTAAATAAAAAAGGAAAGAAATTTCTCGCAGACGACGTTCCTTAAGCGTTGGACAAAGCGACGGTGAGTATAAATTTTTCGCGAAACGCAGTTGACCCTGGGGATGCGATTCGTGGTTTCTCGAGACGGCTCTCCTCGCACTCGACGAAAATAGAGCTTGTCGAATGGCATTGTGCACTCGCGCGAGAGCGAAACGGGATCTCTGGCCGTGAGTGCGGTGCCGTGTGGCTGGCACCTTGTCACGAATGAAAATCACGGTCCAATCGATCGTCATCTTGTAGGGATGAAGAATTGTACGGCGGATCAGTTCACGTGTCACTCGGGGAACGGCGAGTGCGTGGCACTCGCGTGGATGTGCGACGGCCATTCAGACTGTTCGGACGGTTCGGACGAGGCTGAGTGCAGTAAGATTCTGCACGGACACTCTATTTTACGCTTACGCTTCTTCACGTAACATTTGCTTTCTCTCATATCCGCGCACGTTCATCGCCAATTGCGTGCTTCGATTTCAGGTGCTTATACATCTTACTTTACGTCCGTTTAACGATTCCTTTCGCAGACGAGCTTAAAAGATAAGCAAGAAAACGAAAGTTCGAAAGATCGAATCGACGCCGTCCTTCGCTACCTGTAGATCGACCGTGGTCGTGGCATTACTCTCGTCACGAATGCCGTAGTGGCTATAAAAGGTAGTTGCGCGTCGTTGTATCCGTCGTGTAGCATTTACGCCTTACCTGATAGATTCCAGTATGTTAACTACGAACACGAAATATAGAATCTAACGACGAAACGTTCCGTCAAAGGATCGCGATATGTGCGGATATCTTCTGTGGTTGCGGTACGGGAATGAAAATTTTGGTATTCGTTGCAGCATTTTAATCGAATAAGTAACGTCGTTCCGAATTCCGTCGATACGAGCTACCTATTATATTACCGATATATCTGGTCTATCGATCGATACGTACGTCACGTACAAGCAAGAGTCGGCGTGTTAATTCTTACAAGACCGAATTTTGGTTTCGATCTTCGATACATTCTGTTTTTACGCGTTACGGCGTTTTCGATTGTTATGCTTTTTTCTTTTTTTTCTTTTCTTATTTCGATTCAAGGACGGTTTTACCGACGATAAATATCGTTCAATCGGTTAAAGTAACTTGTCGAAGTAGTTGTGTAGTATCGCGTATATACGCAATGGGAAGTACGCGAGAATTAACGAAACAGGGAAGCGAGGATGAATGGGACATTTTTTGTTCGACGAACGCATATCGAATTCCGGTTTATCGCCCAATAAGGTAGGAATATTTGCGAAGAATAGGGAACGTTTTATTTCGATGGTATCGAAATATCGTCGGTCGTGAAAAGATAAATTCGTTTAGCCGTCGTGTCACTCTCTGAAATCAATTCTGTTTCCGTATTTTATTCACCGCGACTACATTAATACGTGAATTTGCATTCGTTTTATTTCGTTACCGGTGCAAACTACGTTTAGCTAACTTCGATAATCAACCATCAAATATGTAAATCAATTAACCTTCGAACAATATTAAGTAGCTAGTTTTACTTTGTTTACATAATGTCGTATTATTATTACGTAATGTTACGTTATTACTTCGACGTTTTAACGAAATACGTTTGTTTCCCTGATAAAGAAAGTTCGTACATCGATTTTTCTCACTTTGCAGTGAAATTTTGAATTAGAAAGTACATACGTCGTAATAAGAATTACCGTGCTGCTTCGCATTATCGTAATCTTTAAATTTCAGCGACGGTCAGCGTAAATCCGTTACGAAAGGATAACGTAAAGTTGAATGTATCTGTCCTCTTTGATATTCTCCGTCGTTTCTTGCTAGATAGACTCGGTAGTTTTAAAAATTCGTATTAATTAGAAGAAACGTAAGTAAAACGATAAGAAAACGAATAGAAAATATCATCTTTACTTTGCTAAATGTGTTACAGAAAGACGGATCGAACTTTCGAAAAGCAAAGTCTTGAAAAGTGCAGAGTTTAGGTTTAACGATGTTTAATTTATCGTAATCGTGGCCCGGCAGTGCAAAGAATTAACATCTTCACTTACAATTGTAAAATCGTTCGTTGCGAGAATGTGTTTGTTCTTCGAGCTTTCCTTCGTTATTCACGCGACATTCTCGCGTATAAATTTGCTAGTAAATACGGCATAATTCGCGATAGAATTGATCAAACGATTCCTTACTAATAGACCGTTGATTTTTATGCAAATTCATATCTTGGAAAATATCGTTTCGATAGTACAGTCTCGGTAAGAGATCGTCTTATCCGCTGCATATGTATCGTATAGTTTTTTGATATTTGCGTTTTAAGATCGTAAATAAATGGTTAAAAATCCGCGGTCAACTCGTAAGATTTAATCTAAAATCCCGTGTAAGCTTTCTCCATTGGAGAAGGTTCATCGGTGAACGTCTCGATCGGAATTCGGTTGGTCGTGTTTAGAAGATTCGGTACTAGAACGCAATTGTTGTCCCGATCCGTTCGCCGCGATCTATACGTGTTTCTAACTTCATGCATTTTCAATGCGCTAATGCTGTATTCGCCTGGCTAAACAATGAATTATTAAATGTTTTCCAGCGGGGCAGAGTCGAACCGGGTCGGCTTTGCATAAATCAGTAGGAAATTCGTATTTGTCAGTTTTTCGATGAAACGCGCGAACTTTCGAAAGGTGTACCACTCGGGGCACGTTTCCAGATCGGGATAAAATATTTGTTGTACGTTTCCCGATTACGCGGAGTTCCGTACAAAAGAGAAAGCTCGGCCGCGAAAAAGAAACTATCGGATCTGCTATTTTTCATTTATGCCTTTTCGAACGCTCTTCTTCCGTTCCGTCGTCCTATGAATTATGCCGTAGCAGTAATCTCGCGGTAGCTCGTGCAAGCGACGCGAAACCGCACGACGCTCGAACCTAAGCTCTGCGCTGTTAAATGGTGTATACACGATCAAAGAGACACAATTCCACGGTATATACTACGATATCCCGTAGATTCCCGTTGTACGAAGGATAATCTTAAATCAAGCAGGATATTGGCGATTAACGCGTTAAACCCTTTAACCCTCGACCGATACGACCAAGTTAAAACAGCCCCGTTATTGATTTTACCACTGTAACACGCTCTGTCTCTGAAACGCCCGTGTTAATTTTCCACTTTGGCCTCCAACTATTCGTTCCGATCGTTCGGCTCGCGGATAAAGCACGAGAAAGTTAAATTAATCGTTTATTACGGTTCAAAGTTTTCTTAACAAGTTAAACGGCCGTTAACATAAGTACGGTTACATATTTTAGTTGAAACGCACACTTGGCCAACTTGTTTAATCGAGGTCAAATTGGTCCGCTCCGATGGTTATGTAACGCGTACTTCGCCCTGTCAGTCGAGGGTTAAAATATAAAAAGGTCTGTGACGAGCATGTTTTTCCTTCTTTCTTTTTTTTTTTTTTTTGTTCTTTTTCCTTCCCTTTATATTTTCCAAACAGCTTTTGGGTATTTAGAAAATCTCTGTCGTTTCTCTTTTGGCTTTTGCTATTTGTTCGTTTTTGTGCTTTTTCGTATTTGAGGAAACGAAAGAGCGCTATCGAATTGTTCGAAGGCGTGTCGTACGCTTATCGTGATTAATAAATTCTATTCCTTAGATATGGTCGCTTTGGATCCGTCAAAATAAAACGTCGGATCAGATCTATAGCGAAAGTAAAAGCGTAGAGCGATTAGCTTACTTGCTCGGTCGCCAGCACGTTGTCGCTGATACTTTCCGCTATTTAGCCGTGTATTTACCTGTCTTGTTTCGCAACCATGTTCGATCTATCGTATCGTGCAAATTTCGTAAAAATCCAAACGCCCCTTTTTCCTTCTTCCGAAAAAGTTTAAAGAGCCAGACGTTCCGCTCCGATTTTTTACTTCGTCTCTAAAAAGCGCGACTCGACTTCGCTCTGATTACGACAAATTCGATGCTTCATCTTCGAAACTCCAAGTCGACTTTCTCTATCTTCTTTCGCGTCTTTTATACCATTAAAAAATTTCTAATTTTTATTTTGCGCCGATCGCGATGTATTTGAAGGTTCGCCTTCGAAATTTAGAGTTGGCGCTTCGTATTTCGTTAACTTTTTTCGTTTTTTATTATTTATTTTACTTTTATACTAAGGCAATAAAATTGAAACTTTGCCTTCAAAAACTCAAAGTCGACTCTTCCCAGCTTTTTCTTTATTTTTTTTTTTTTTTTTTTAATATATGTCTAAAGATAGTCTTTCAAAATTTCTACTTCCAACTCTCCGGCCACCGAGAAATAAAATTATCGACTTAGGGGACCGTGATGGACTGTTAATATCGTGTTAGGTGTTGTTCGTACGACGCGTTTATTAGGGTGGATATTAAAAGTTAGAGTCGCCGGTGTCCACGTAGTAGAAGAGGAACGAAACAACCGAAAGCTGGCGGTTACCTAGCTTCTGTATTTTAAGGATTAATACAGAACACCGCGTGCTTCGTAATAGCAGCATGTTGCATGCTTCCCTCTAATTAATAATTGTCGCACGTACGCAACTTCCGCAACGTTGCTGTTTTTTTTTTATTACGTTCTAAATGTAATTGTTACGATTACGAGGATCGTTTTCATTCTCTGCTAATTAGTCTCTCGCGCGCAACCGCACGATTGCCGGATTACGCATAATGCTTTTTCCTCTTCGATTCTACCACTCTGATTAACAGCTTTTCCCCTTTATTCTCGTATTTTATATTTATTTATCTCTGTATGATCGAGTTGCCGGAGAATCGGTTAAACGGTAAAAGATCGTAAACGCGTATCCAAAGAATACCAGGAAAATTTGAGAAATGTCGATTTCGTCGAATCTTCGTTCCGTGAGTAGAGTTCTAATTAAAAAAGAACGACCCTGTTAACGAGTCGATAATAAGATATAAAGATAAGAAGAGATATCTCCTTAGGTAATCAAACGCTGTTCTATTCTATTCGATTCTAAAAAAAAAAAAAAAAAAAAATCAAAAAAAAAGTATTTTTTTCGTTCGCTTCTTTCTCATCGTAAACCTCTTGCAAACCTTTTTCTCTTGTATCGTTCGAGATACGTCGTATGCAGAGATTTGTCCAATTTTAAAAAACTAACTCGAGATATCATCGTGGAAGCGTGTTTCCCATGTAAATATACAACTTCCTTCGGCGTGGAGTAACCACGAGTCGTGCCCGAGCAAATTTGTCAGCGAAACTCTTTTCCCTTCCGAAAAACGCTTGGTTTCCCTTGGCAAAGCTTTAGACGACCGACTCTTCGTGGCCAGGTTGCACGAACTATACTTTTCGGATACATAACATCTACATATACATACGTTTCACGAGTGTGCCGAGTTTTTCGCCGCAGCGGCCCGATCGATTTTCTTCGTCACGATGATTCGCGTCTCGTTATCATGTTCACGCTATTGTATCCGTAGTTACTTCTCTTTGTTGTGTTTTTTCCTTCGCTTCTTCGGTGGCTTGCTGAATTATCGTTCGACCCTTTGCCGTTGAAAGAAACTTCGTTATATACGTACGATCGTTACCGCATGAAGTATCGTTCGCAAAATACGAGGGAATGCAGAGCGACGCGATAGTAACGCGATATCGAATATTTCGATGCCTCCGTGCTATTGCAAAAGGTAGAAGAATCGTACGATACGCGATTGCTAGTAGTACCGCGGATTTTTATGCATTTATGCGAAAGTCGAAGCTGCAGAAGTACGCAAGATTCGTACGATATGCAAAAATGTGTGTGCAGAATATTGAAAATGCGGTAGTTGCGGTAAAACGAGAAAGTTACGATCTGCGAATACAGGCGTGTCCTAAAATGGTTCGTACCTCTAAACGAACCGTTATAAAGCGTATCGTACGTCACGCGTATTTACCGAACATACGAGTTTCTTAATCCGTTAATCGATTAAAAGTACGCGAAAATAGGAAACGACGATGGATTGGTTTTTCGTACACGCCTTAAACCACGTTAACCGGAATGTAATCGAAAGAATGCAAATAATGGATTAGATCGATAAGATGGATTCGTAATCGGATAGATTGGATTTATCGTCTCGTGACGATACGCGTGCAAATCGAAACGCCGCGACAATCGCTAATTCCGTTACGTTGGAAAAGCAGCAAAGTTTTACAAAATTAGCGTTTTATCGAATGATCGCATCGTTTCTTTCAGCGATTTCCTGCCATTTATCGAGTAACTCTGTAATTGCCTCGCCGAAGAACGTTTTCCCTTTTTCAGCAATCGATTCTTTCGAATAGCTTTTTCACGCCTCTACGTATTTGATTCCTTGCCATTAAAAAGCTTTTACAGAGATGAAATTTTTGGAGAGTAGACGATAGTCGAGGACGAATAACGTAGCTATTTTATCTTTTTTTTTTCTCTCTTTTAATTATTATTTCATTAAAGTCGCATCGCCTACCATGGTCATTAGCGACTATTTGCCAACGACACACGGAGTCGCCCATCCGTGCTAATTTGATAATTTGATAAGCAGGATGGGGGTGAACGTTCCAGTTAAGATCCAATATCTTTCGCTTGTTCTTCATCGATGCACAAAGTAACGTTATCTCGTTGGAAAACGACACCTTTCCCCTTAATCGATCCCGATTTTTTCGTTTAAACGTTTTTACGCTTAATACTCTACGAAAGATACTTTATCGTTGTTTAGTAGAAATATAACATAACGTAACGTAATAAATACATAATCCTCTTTCAGTCTTATCGAATACACGATAGTACGTAGTATGTGTACGTAGTATCGATAAAGATGAAAAACGATACGCATTTTTCAAACGATGCAACATTTCTACGTCTCATCGATCGAATAACCAATCCGTTCTTGTTTTATATTTTTGCCCTAACTTTTTAATTCGGCGTTTATTAGCTTCTATGCTCTTTTTGCTTAGTCGTAGAATATACCGATACCGCTATCCGGTGGGAAAAAATCTCGGACGTCCCACGTAAATGTTCTATACGCTTGATTCGGATTTTTCAATTTCAACGTGTCACAAGCGTTTAAGTTTTGATCGCGTTATTTCCGTATACCCTTGCCTGTCCCGTATAACATCGACACGTTCGATAATTTTATCAAAATGTTCAAATAAAAGACCTGCAATTCCTGGAATATACAGCGAAATATAATCGAAAACAGAATACTCGCTATAACGATTACGCGAAGCAACTTTCTGCTTGTTTTTCTAAAATTATAAATATGCATAAGTCTCGGTAAACTACATAGTCGTTATTCGTTGGAATAAATATCTGCGAGTTAATACCGTTTTTTTTTCCCTCCAACGTGATTTACGATAGTCAGCTTGCCACTTAAGTAGGAAAAAAGCTTCGCGATAAATCGATAATCGTATCGAGAAGAAGAAATTCCACGTAACAACTGCAAAGGGTTGGAAACGAAGTTTCGTTCGATCGTACGCACGAGTGTCATCGTAGACAATTAAACGCGTCCTTTGTTTCAGCGAGAATCGACGTTACGCGAGCACATTGGTCACGGAACGTTTGTGATTTTTCGTTCGTAGCGTTCGTGCCATTTCATCCAGACGGATAAAACTCGTCTACGAGGGTAACGAACGATTCGGCCCCTGATTTCTAAGCTCGTACACGAACAACCTAGTAGTTTCTACCTGTTATGTCGTGCACTTAATGTTAAGTAACGTCGTAGCAGCGGTATGCGTCTGTCGTTGATTAAGGACCGGTTAATTATCCCGTTTAATTACGCGACTATGCCGAGAAACTTATTCCTTCCGCTACATCCTCTCGAAAGTGCAAATAGCTTCTTGCATAATTTAAACGTCGTAGCGTTCGCGACACGGCGGGCGGGGGGCGTGTTTGCCGTAAAAAAGCGGAATAAAACATAGATTTAATTCGAGTAACCAAAGTTCTTGATTCTTACGATGGTCTTTTACGCTTCGAATTTCGTTTTCGTCGGGTGACTCGTGTACGAACGAAAAATCCATGTTCACGCGCCATGTTCTTAGCATCGTGGATATTGGCTAGATACGTCGCATATATGTATTTCCACGCGTTTAAGCGATGTTTGCCGCTTCTTCTCTTTTCCCCCGTTTTTTTTTCTCCTTGTTTCTTCGACGTTGTGCGTCCTGTTTAAACGTTAAACGTACCGCGTGAAAGTCTCAGACCACGTGCCAAATCTTTGCTATACGTTAAACTCGAGAATCGACGGTCAGTTTGTTATTGATCGAGCTTTTAAAATATTCGGTGCGACGGTAGCGTCGTTTCCTTTGCGAACACACTCGTGTCTGTTATTTTTCGTGGCACGCGGAGAGGGTTTGCCAAAATGCGTTGAAACTAGTAACGTGGATGGTCTAAGATTTTTGTGCGACGCTATAAACGTACGCATGAACGATAGACGCAAGAAGCGCGTTATTTGGATTCTTCAGCGAAACACCGGTTGGCTTCCTTTCGCGAAAACCAAGCGATATCCTTTAAAATCGCGAAGGCTATTCGATCGAATATTCGGTAATTCATCCGAGGAGATCGAGTTAGAAGAAATATTTCGAAATTCTAAAGAGAATGACAGATACGTTAAATATTATAAATAGCGGTAAATATGTCGAAGAATAACGTTAAAGACGTTTCTTTCATAGATCGTCGCGTTAAACTTTGTATCCGTGTTAAAATACGAGTGGTTCGCTGAAAACAAGTTTGTCGTATCACCTTTGTCGTAGATCGTTTTTACCTTGTTTATTTGTTTATTCCATTTCTTGCGTGTACATAAAACGCGTTTTCTCCAGACGACACTTGTCGATCTGACGAGTTTACGTGCGCAAACAAGCGATGTATCCAGAGAACGTGGGTGTGCGACAGCGACGACGATTGTGGAGACGGCAGCGACGAGGAAGATTGCAAACCGGTCACCTGTGGTCCGTCAGAATTCGCCTGCTCCAAGAATTATTGCATAACGTCTCGATGGAGATGCGACGGTGATTTCGATTGTCCAGATAAAATCGACGAAGTTGGATGTAAGGTAAAACATGGTCGATCGGATATTTTATTCTCGTGCGATCGATATACAGTCGTACAAGGAAAAAACTTTATCCGTTGCTATTCTATCGCGAATAATCTCGAATGGACAAGTTTGTTCGTCCGAAGATTCGCGTCGTTTTTCTCTTCTAGCGCTTCCTATATATAGTTTCGTTTCTTCCAGAAACGGCATTTTTATGAAAACCGGCCGATTGATATTTATTCGACTTCGTTAACTTTTAACCGCGTAACGGAATACATCGAGGAAACGTAACGTTTTTTTTTTATCTACACTATACTATCTATAATGTGGTAAAATATATCGAAATATGGCGAAATTGGTCGGTCTTGCATCTAAAAATCTCAACAATTGAAGGTAGTTTCGTCATCGTTGCCGCTTTCCTAATTAGCATACCAGCGAAACTGGGCTTGCTTTGCTTTGCATCTCGATTAATTAAAACTCCGCAACTTCGTATATTAGAATCAAATACCTCGAAAATAAGGTAAAACCGCGTATCGACCATTTGCTCGGCGTTGACGTCATCGGTGAGATCTTTGAAATTAACATACTCGCGAGACTGTATTCGCTTCGGTTAATTCCCAGCGTCGAATCCTCTGCGTATCGACGTCGCAAAAACGCAAAGAGCCGCCCAAAGTGCAGAAAATTACAAAGCGACCCGCGTAAAGAAAAGGATGGCGCAAAGTAAAAGACTTACGAAATCTTTTTAGTATTCGAACGGCGAACGACCAAGCCATTGCAACAAGGACGAAGACTTCGACTGTGACGACGATTTCACGTGCATACACAAAAGCTGGGTGTGCGACGGCGAAAGAGACTGCCCGAACGGGGCCGACGAGTTGCCAACACGGTGTCACAACGTTACATGCAGGCCGGATCAATTCCAATGCGGGGATCATCGTAATTGTATATCAGGTAAATTTAATTACGAGAACGTTTAACCAGCTTCCCTTTTTTTTTTTTTAATTCCACGGATACTACCTCTCGCGTTGTACAATGCGCCACTACGTATACCAGACATCGTGATTTGGAGGAGAAAATTCGTAAAGAAGAAGAGTGTCCTTCTGCCATAGTTGGCCCGAAGCGTTTATTGTATTCGTAAATGGTGCATTTAACGTATATATTCGTAATTAGTTTTGGTAAATAACGTATGCCGTGTACTCTGTGAAATATAGATAATCGATACGTTATGACCCGATTAATTTATGTAATTACCAGTCGTCATAATTTTGAGAAGAGAGTTTACATAAAAGCATCTTTGCCTATAGTATAGTATGAAATAGCGAGTTTATTCGTTGACCGCATTTCAGATACGTTGTAACGATTAATTTTGAGAAATAAAGCGCATAAGATTAATACGAAGCGTAATTTTACTTTTAACGTATTAAATTTGCTTATAGTACTCTGCTAAATAATATTTATTCGTAATGCACGCAAGATATATTGTACGTTGTGTGACGTAGACGCGTGCACTTTCGCGCGAACGAGCAAACGAAGAATTTGTTGGTAAAAGCAACTAGGTACTTGTCCATTTTTTATTTTTGCTCCGTTTTATTCGGCATTAATTTATCATCGCGTTTCTTTATAAACACGCTTCTCGCCGCTTCTCCTTCGAGATTTTATCCTACGTACGTGTGTATATATAAAAATATTTTTCAGGCCACTTGTATTGCAACGGTAAAGCAGAATGCGTAGATGGCAGCGACGAGAGAAATTGCACGGGCAAAACCACCGTTTGCGATCCGTCGACGCAATTCGAATGTAGCGAGGGCTCGTGTATCCCTCTTTCCAGCGTGTGCAACAAACACCGTGATTGTATCGGTTGGGAGGACGAGAACGAGGAACTTTGTGGCGTGAACGAGTGTTCCAAGAACAACGGTGGATGTTCGCAAATTTGCATCGATCTGCCGATCGGCTTCCGGTGTGATTGTAACGCAGGATACAGGCTCATTGACAATAGGACTTGCGATGGTAACTTGACAACAGTATTCCCGAAAACACTTTCTTTGTTATTGACGTTAATGTTGAAATTGTAACGATCGATATTGGCCATTTCCCGCTGTTAATTATCAACTACTTTGCATCTTTAAGGCTATTGAAATGCATGTTAACGCGATTTCCATGACGCGGTCCCAGCCTAATTGGTTGGGAAAACACGATGCCGATAGAGTGGATGATTTTAACGATTTTCCATTTTCACGATACGATATACGAATAACAAAATAGAAGTATTACGCGCGCATAAGGATATTACATTCTTTTTCTTTTTTCTATTCGTTCGTTATCGATTTTTATATTTATTCGCTTCTCGATACAACTTGGTACTTTTATTTCGCTAAATATTATACTTTCGAGTATCTTATAATATTTGCGCATATTTTATGCATTCTGTGCTTTTTTGCACCTTTAAATGTCCCGTAAATGCGCGAAAATCCGCAGCTTAGTTACAAAAGCTTGCGGTAAATGACAATTGACGTGGAACAGCGCACGAATGGTTATAACGATTCAGAACGGACAGACGGAAAGCTCGCAAAGTAAAGATAACTCTAACAACGGATGATTCTTACTTGCGACAATAACACGGCTCTCCGAAGAAAAGCTGTGGCACTTTGCTTTTTTCCCTTTTTCTCGTCATACGTGCGCGCATCCTCTCACTCGCCTGAATACGAGCATCTTCCCTCTTGTCGCAACCCTCTTCTCGTTATATCTCCGACAAAACTCTGTAAGAAAATGACGAACACGCTCCTACGATACAACAATGATGTGCTTTTCTTTTTTTCTTTAAAGTCTTTCTAACGGAAGAAAAATAATTGTCAGAACGAAAGAGAAACAATGTAAAAAATGGTGTTTCCCGCTTCAGATATAGACGAATGCTTGGAACCAGGCACCTGTTCCCAGTTCTGTTTGAACGAAAAGAGCAGTTTCAAGTGCAGCTGTGCCCCGGGTTACCTCAAAGATCCCAGGAACCACACTCGTTGCAAGGCGGCAGAAGGTCACGCCAGTCTGCTCTTTACCAGAAGGCACGATATAAGGAAAGTTGCACTGGATCGTTTGGAGATGACGGATATAGTGAAAAACACGAAAATGGCCGCGGCCTTGGATTTCGTTTTTCGCACCGGTATGATCTTCTGGAGCGACAGCAGCGAAAAGAAGATCTATAAGTAAGCAACGACGAATCGAATTCAAAAGAACGACAAAAACACGTATTTAACTTTAAAATCGAACGCAAACATCTTCTCGATATGGCGTTGATCGACAACGTGTCGAATTTTTAAATTCTTCCTTTACGTATAAATAAAAGACGCAACGCCTAACTTATCTCGTTTCTCACCTATGGCCTACGTATATCGTGTGCATTTCGCCTGGTGCGCATCTTTGCGTCTCCTTTCCTATAAAAAAATACTTTGTTACTCACGTATCCGTTATCGTTATCGTTGTTTAGAGCTCCGATAGACGAAGGCAACGAGCGTACAGTTGTAATCGACGATGGTTTAACTACATCGGACGGACTTGCCGTTGATTGGATATATAGTCATATTTATTGGACCGATTCCAAGAAGAGTACCATAGAACTGGCTAATTTCGAGGGTAATATGAGGAAGACGTTGATTCGAGATCGGGTACAAGAACCTAGAGCGATAGCTTTGAATCCACTGGAGGGATGGATGTTTTGGACCGATTGGAGCGACGAAGCCCGCATAGAGAAAGCGGGCATGGATGGATCTCATCGAACGGTAGATCCGTAATAAGATCGAAGAGAGAACGAACCTGTAGTTGAGCTAATCTTCCATGGATCCTTTTAGGAACACGGCTTTCCTTTTCGTATTCGGTTATAATTTAACGTGTTGCGATCGTACGACTATGAGCATCTTTGCTTTCGCCAATAATAGTACGCGTATATCGAATTTCTCTCTCTCTCTCTCTCTCTTTCTCTCTATGCATATATATATATATTTTTTTTTTAATCTCTAATCTCGTTCTAAATATGTCGTAATGATCGATAAAATAAGATTAAGCAGTAGTACTAGATAAAGTTTTTAAAATTCCCTCCTACCGAGAAAGTTCATTTTTTCTTCGACCTTTTAAGACAAAAGTTAAGACAAAATACTTTCAGAGCGGATCGCCGGTGTAAGAGTAAAGTTTCTGAAACAGCGGGCTTATCGTTTGCAGGTGATAGTCGACAATGACGTACAGTGGCCAAATGGGCTGACTCTGGACTTAATTGGCAAGAAAATATACTGGGTAGACGCAAAGTTAAATATAATTGGATCGTGTAATTACGATGGTTCAGGTGTACGAACGGTTCTCTATTCTCCGGAAGTATTGAGGCATCCCTTCAGTATTACGACGTTCGAAGACTACGTTTATTGGACCGACTGGGATAAGGAGGCGATATTTAAAGCAAATAAATTTACCGGTGAATCGGTCGGACCTGTTACATCTCTTCGAACTCTGAAATATCCAATGGTCGTTCACGTATATCATCCGTACAGACAACCAGACGGAATGAATCAATGTCAGGCTGTGAATGGTCATTGCAGTCATTTGTGTTTACCAGCACCAAGAATCAATTCGAAATCGCCTCTTCTTAGTTGCGCTTGTCCGGACGGCCTAAGATTGTTACCCGACGGTTTGATGTGCGTGGAAAAAGGTAAGCGATACCGATGATGCCAATTATTTGTTCGTAAATTACACGCATTAATTTAATATGCATGCATTGACACTGAAGTCGAAAGAATGAAATCAAAGTTAGGGTAATGCATGGTACATTACGATAGGAGTAACGCTTACGATTTAAATACGAATACAACGTTTTAACGAAGCATGTTTACATTTTTTTTGTATTACCGTATCGTTATCGAATTGCTTTAATCGATTCATTTTTTTTTCTTTCACTCTTGAACTACACTATGATTATCATGCTTATGTCTTACGTTTATTATTTTATTACTTATCATAATATTTTGCGTCGATGTTGCATGAATATGGGATGATATCCAGTAAGTACAACTGTAGCACCTACAACGCAAGAAATTAGTAAACCATTCAAGAGACTCGAACCTCTCAACGTAACCACGGCTGTCCGTAAGTATATTTGCACGCGTTCTATATCGTACGACTATAGCTCCATAATCAATTGATCAAAAACATTTGGATATGCTTTATAACGTGTATAGTCTTATATTAATAACGATGTGTGTATTGTTATACGAGACGCATGTTTCTGAATCGCTAAAAAAAGTGGCTTTGTATATGACAAGAAGCTTGTCGCGATTGTACTTGTTAGCGATCACTGCTGACACTGTTCGTGTCACGGCTGTGACGTTTAGTTTAGAGTCTTTGAGCGATCGTACGAAGGGACGCTTCACGCCTAGAAGGTTGCTTTGTCACTTGCCGCGAACAGTCGTGCTATAAATTAAGGATTCCAAAGAGTCTCGACTGGCGTCAAGCGCTGGCATCGAACGCCGGGCGTCGATCGTTGAGAGACGGAGGAATTTTCTCACGTGTCACCGAAGAGACCACCTTCGATGATTCCTGAAATCGCTGTACCTCCGCTCCAGAAAGGATAGATGATCCTAGGAGAGAGTCGCGAAGTCTCGTGCGATTGCCGATTGGGCCTTGTTTTTAAGGAAGCATACCAATCGGCAATTTCGAAGACTCTCGATGAAAAGAACGACTCTTAGAGGAGATGGGTGAGACCAGGATGACGGTTTTAGCTTGTCGAGTCAGTATGGTTCGGTTGTATGAGTCTATCTCGTTCGAGAGACTCATCGCGTCTTCCGATACGTCAAAATTTGGTGGGTCCTTCGGCGTTGTGTGATATCCAAGGCCAGAAGAAATTGCTTACAACTACCAAGCGGAGCATACTTCTGGCCGCGACAATACCTTTTTAATTAGTCAGCTTTATCTTCAATTTAGTTCGCGCGTCTTTGCTTCTTTCGTCTGACCGACTAATTTGTTTTAGATCCAACGCATTCAACAGATGGAGATGGCAAAGGTGGTCTAGCGTCTGAATCCACAGACCCTGGTTTAGTCGCTGGGATAGTGATAGGCGTGGCGTCCTTCGGGCTGTTACTCCTCGCATCAGTAGCATTATTATGCTATAGGCATTACCTTCATCGTAATGTAACGAGTATGAACTTTGATAATCCTGTGTATAGGAAAACCACAGAAGATCAATTTAGTCTCGAAAAGAATAGGTTTCCACTCCCCACTGCTACGGTTGGAGAAGAGGTAATTACTGTGTGTGATGTGTCATTTCGTTAAAAAAAGAATTGTGTATGTTATTTATATACTTTTCTTTATTTATTTATCGAACCTCGAATATAAATGTATATATTTTGTATAATTTTTTTGTTTAATTTCAATAGGCTCAGGAACCTTTAACGAGTCCTGGAACTAATGATTACGTTTAAGAATGAATCTGTCAATGAAACGGGCTTAGCAGGCTATTGAAATATAATGTCGACCAAGTAACACAAAAATCATGTACAAAAAAAAAAAAAAAAAAAAAAAAAAAAA